TATATATATATAAATACTGTATAGGAGACATGAAGTTGTATGTTGGAAGAACAATGTCTTCATGTTCATATCTTCTGCCCACTCAGGTCTGACTCCTCCCACTACTCCGCCTCACAAACCTGTGGATGACGAGCTCTTCAAGCCGACGGAGGGAGGAAAGGTTGGCAGCGAGGGTGGAGGCGGCGGTGAGTCGAATGCCAACAGTAACGTCGCCACGAAGGCATCGGCCTGCCTAAGCCGCGCCCACCACCAGCGGAAGCTGCCCGAGCAGACGGAGCTCTAYGCTCAGCTACGGCGGATGGGCCAGGCGGGCCACGCCCAGCGCAGCTTCGGYGACCACGACTACTGCGTGCTGAGCCTCGGGGAGAGTCTCGAGCAGAACGCCGCCACCGTCCTCGGGACCTTGCTGCGGCTGCAGGAAGGAAGCGAGGACGACGTCGGCCATGCGGCCACGGCGGCTGGCGGTCCGGCGCCGGGGGAGAGGCTGGTGATGACGGAGGCTGTGGAGACGCAGGAGCAGCAGATGGTGGTCTCAGCGTCGCCTCCTTCAGACTGCCTGTCAGACGCTGCCACGCCTATCGCCTCTGAGGAGGAGGCGGAGTGCTCCTCGGCGTCCCGCTCGCCTTCGCCCGTCCTCCACATGTGTCCCGACTCCCCCTCCAGCAAGACAGACTCCAGGTAAGAGCAGAGGAGGGGCTGAAAACAAGCTGTGAAACTGGAGTAAGCTGTGTTTGTCTTAAGAAACAATTTTTACTGGGCTAAAATATTAATTCTCAACTATTACCAGTTCAAATTTGGTAACAGTAGCATAAAATATGAATATTTGAGACATAGTACAATCCAGCATGTCCAATTTTCATATTTGTACACGTACAAATATGTCCAAACTGTACGCTTTGTCTAAAGCACTGTAATCTCCAAATGCTTCAACACAGAGACTTCACTCTGGGCTCAAATTAAAGAAATAACCCCCACAAAACACATTCTACCATCCATATTTACTCACAGCATGATTAAATTACCAAATAAATCATTAATAGTCAGAAATATTTATACCAACTGGAGTACATTCAGCCAATTTCCACCAAAAAAAAAGCCAAAAACACAACAATAAACAAATATATCCTTGTTTTGTTTAAGGCATTAACATTCCACATAGCTTATAAAACAAGCAGCAGCGAAAAAATATTTGATTTTCACTAACTTTTGATGCGTATTTGTCCTCAAATATGAAAAAATTAGCAATTCAAAATGGCCGACTGTCAGATCATGTTGTTTTAGTTACAATCAGTAAAATTGGAGCTGTGGACTCTTAACTTTGAACAGACAATAATGT